ATTTTGGAGAAAGGTAGGGAAAAGAAAACTTGGATTACACGGGCCTGACTGGAACGATAATACAAAAATGTAACTAGAATAAATAGGATATTATAAAGTGTGATTAACTCTCTGGCTCGAAAGAGGAAAAACTGGCGAGCTCCTCTGAGCACGTACCTGCACATCTTCGTATTCTGAAACAAATGGTCGATTTCCACCAAACTTGGTAAGAACGTTATGCCATTCGAAGCTACCCCAGAGTGAGAAATTACGGGAAATTATTGACCAGCTGAGCGACTATCAACTTCTCATCCTCCTGTTTCTTTCCGTCTCCTCAGCATCCAGCTTTTAAGAATTCACGATCTATGGAGACAACCTACTACCTGTCAGAATTAGTACTCATGTAATTTTGTTAGAGCAATATGAAACCTCTGTCGGACACCAGGTGTTGGCATTTTGGTTTCCTCTTCGGACACTTTTCCGCTGACACAGATGGGAACATCTTGATGGCAGGGAAGGCGAACAATTACCCGTCCCATTGCACCCACTGACGAGGGTTACGTGGGAGAACGACACTCAGCGTTCAGTCTCCAGACTGCCATTAAGCACACTTACTGTGAGCATTACTTCAGATACTGTGCCAACTGTTGAGGTCGAATGACATGTGGCAAGACGACTGTAGACCGTAAAGTGACCTAAATGTTATGTATTTAAAAACGATATTCCAACTGCGGGGGTTATAGAGCATCAAATGTAATGGGAAGAGGTTAAATAGGTGCGTATTTGAATGGATGAGGTCCAGAATGAGCCTGTTACTTTGAAGTAACAAAATTCACTAAAGGTCAGTGTAAGTTGTTCTTGTGATTAATTTTTCAAAGCTCCGTGGTAACTATATATTCCATTTGCTACAGCAATCAGTAAAGCCCCATTTTGTATTTATGGATTTTGCATGATGCTAAATGTAAACAGTCACTATTTCCTTAAACAACATAGACCAGTTGATCTTTGTAGTGGCGAAATGTTGTGTTTTCTTTACGGTACAAACTGAATTCACAACCCCAGTAAAAGACCCCCTGTACACATTGGGTAGTCCTCAACACGTATCTGGAAATAGTTTCAAAGAAAAAATTCATCTGCCGGGAATTTAATCTCAGTCAACAAGCTCGTAACCTCGTTACATGGACAAGCAACGACCTCTAAACGATAATTTATTTGTTATTATTTAACGGTGTTACAGCCACACAACTCTGATAGGAATTATGTGAATAGGAGACCGGCTGTGTGTGATTATTTCCGAAATGATAATGCGTTGTATTGAAGTGAAAGCGGTTGACGTCTGTCCGTCCATCCGTGTGTATGGCTGTAAAATGCACGGTTGAATATTCACTGTTGTTGTTGTTGTTTCCATGGAAGGAAACGACCGATACAGTCCGCAGGGACGACAAAACATGACAGTGGCTCCCTCTGGGACTCAAGCAGATTGAAATGCTGACATCCAACTGCATTAATTAGCAACTATAATGCAGTACATCGAACAGCACCAAGTGTGGAAATCTGCCTGGCTTTCACTACATGAATAGTGTAATCAAGGGATATTTATTTGCATTATACAAACTTCTATTTTGCATATAACTTATGCTCGTGTGGTAATATTTTTCTCACTTCAACTATTCGTTAATGTAACGAGATATGCCACAGTAACACTACTAACTGTTTGCAGTACCAATATAAAAAATTTGCGTTCATAACCCTCATTACAGATTAAACAAAACTGTGAAGACGTATTCTAATCTCGAGTAAAAATATTTCCTGAATACTTTGTTTGCAATTCCGTATTATTCGACGACACTGAAATGTAACGGAAAGACGTCAATTTAGGGGTCTAGGCGTAGAAACACTTATAATATTAAAATGGATCTTAAATAAACAATATCTGAGTGTGCGGACTGTATTTAGCTTGATCTAATGGCAGACTCTTATGAACAGGGTAATTAACCGCGTTAGTTAATTAAGCTGAGTTTTACGGTGCATCAATTGTTATATCTTTGAATTCGCCTGGAATGACTAAGCAAAACAACGAAAACCAGAGTCAGAATATCCGTTATCCGTGTGAAGAGGTCAATTCCTTCATAAAATTCAGGCGCCTCAGCGCTGAGTCGACAAAGTAGAAACTAAATTTGCTTCTCATGCAACGGTTTAATAAACTCAAACTGCGCATTTCATTATCGCCAAGGAACTATCTAACAGCGTACCTCCGAAGTAAAAGTCTTACGCTTTCACCGTTATTCAAACCTGATCCGATGGCAGGAAGATAGTGTAAAAATGTTCCAGTGCTATTTGTGTAAATTTCTAAATACATTCCATATCATCTCTGCACAATAATCCAGTATGCCTTTAAAATACGTAAGACAGAGTATTAAATGCTTAGTATAATCTACCAACTGCCTACAAAGCTCGGTTCACTTCTCTTGACACATCCTGAACTCGTTGTCCTATCTCCGACTTTATTTTCATGAGCAGGATAAATAAATTAACAGCAGAGAATCAATGACGACTGATTTTAAGTTACAGAATATTTCTGGAGGGGCTGAGGAAATTCACGTAAATCCTTTCAATATATCAGAAATCTAAAAATAAATCCAATGGGATGCATCTTGATTCAAATTGGGAACATTCCACAACATCAGGCCTTTTTGACAGGAAATAGTCATGCTTCAGTAATACTACCCTTCGTAACAGTTTGCGCACTGCGAACGAATTATATCGTTAACACCACATTCGGTATTGAAAAGTAGTGTGTAATAATAGGCCTCGTAAGATAAGTCTGTTGACAATTCAAGCTAAGTTTACGACATGTTAATAGAAGTAAATTACACGTTACGTAAAAGAAAGTCAAGTTTTATACAGATTAATCAGCTCCGATAGGTCTGATATGTAACTTCCATTGTCTGCCATCACTGCGAGACAACACGCCCACGAAAAATCCACCTGAAATGAACAAAACCTTATATCTGATCCTGCAATTGTTCACATATCTTGCATATTCTACTCCACTCATTCAAGTAAGAATATCACGAGGCCAGTACACGAGTATACTGTCTGATATGATGAAATCGGTGAAGCGTTATTTTCTGTAAATAATGAAAAAGCGAAGTAGGAGGGTTGAAATATGAAGTCGGCTCAAATTCACGTATCTTTTATCAACATTCCTTCAGTTCCAAGTCATTCTTCATTGAATTCTGAGGAGCCAGTAGATATATTTTCTTCTTTCCAACGTTGTTGACAGGTAGTCGCATCCCGAAACATGTCTCACACACACTGAAACCAACTTCTCGTCGGTTTCCCGTGCAATGAAATCAACTGGAGGGGCAGAACGCTACGTGACTTTGTGAAAAATTGGAAAGGCGGTAACAAACCTATGACGCGCGGTATAACTTCAATATCGAAAACCGCAAACAAATTTTAATATGAAATAGAAATTTTCTGAGGAATCCACGTTCATACTCGGTACATCACAGAAAATAAAGGATATCAGAAAATTCAAAAGGTCCTGAGCCTGACCCCAAACGTCTCCACTGATCTTAAAATAATAAAAAAAAAGTATATCAGTATAATGGCAACAAATCATGTGAGTATAGGACAAAATAAAATCCTGAAATGTTGTGTATATTAATTTTACCTCCCATAATAAACAATATTCAACATGACATCGGTATAATTAATCAACAAGTGTCACAAACCTCTACAGAACCAATTCTGTTATAACAGTTATAATATTTGAACAATTCGTTCTGTGAATTTCGGACTTGCGTATCTGAAACATGCATGGAATAACTGTAACATACATGTATCCGAATAATATCAGGATAAAAATATTAACAGACTCATAAAGTGATCAAAAGATATAGGATCCACAACGTAACAAAGATACCAGATTCACGCTGTAATATAAGCCCATCACATCCACATTGTAACCTGTAACATACATGTATCCGAATAATATCAGGATAAAAATATTAACAGACTCATAAAGTGATCAAAAGATATAGGATCCACAATGTAACAAAGATACCAGATTCACGCCCATCACATCCACATTGTAATAAAAAGGTACCAGATCCACATTGTAATAAGAGGATGTGAAATCCATACCATGTTAAAGTGTATCAGATCCAAATTACAATTAAAGATTATCAGAGCTACGAAATTCTTCCCTGAAATAAATTAATAAGCGCCAGGTTTATAGAAAACGTCGGTAAATTTCGTCATTTCGACCGGGTGCTATATTAGCACAGTCAGTTAAGTACAGATAGAACTAATAAAACTAGAATTGTCGTGATCAGTATTTGATTGTGTTTCAAGCCATTACAACACCAAATAAAGTTGCCATATCTAATAAGTACCACACAATATTACAACGGGGCTCCAATTATCCAACGGAACGGGACCATAATTGCCTCGAATAAAAAAAACATTGTTTTTCGTTCGTTAAAGCGGTCTGGGAATCATTTATTGCGCATGAACAATTTCAACTGATGACTAACTGATTCAGACCAGGGAAGTTTTACCGCCTGACAAGTTTATAAAGGACTCCACTACACGAGGCGTGATGCTTAATGAAGCAACCTATGGTTACTACTTACACCTGCGCAGAAACATTAGGTAGTGGAGGTAGTGGTGTGAGAAAACCGCTTTAATTATATGGGGAATGAATATTTTTTTAATTCCTTATTCTCCATCTTCTTAGCCCTTCTTCCAAAAAACTGCCATTACAGAAGAAAAACTAACTAAAGAAAATAAGACGTACTACATTATTTGAACGTCTAGAACGAGGCATACACCCGTTTATATACATCGCAAGTAAGGATAATACAAGCAGTTTTCTATAAACTACATAATCCGAATGTCTTTCGTGGAGGAAAATTGTTCTACTTGTTAAAATATACTGAGGTTAGTAGCAGAATCTTCTTACAAGCAAGGTCCCACTGCACATCAAACATGTCTATGCAAGAAACACTTACCTGATTTGCTAGTTGTTGCTGACCTGAATGGTACTTATTCCAACACCTGAAACAAAATTAAATTTGAGGTTCTTAAGCCGGTCAGTATAAATGGTTTCTTCTGGGTTACTGCGCCGTGTAATCTGATACAAGTTTACCGATGTTTCGGAGGTGATTGATGACTCCATCATCAGGGTGATAAATGGGACAGAAATCATCTCTGAAACGTCAATAAACATCTACAAGACTACACTACGCAAGAAGCCATATCACATCCAAAAGACAGTCACAAGAAAATAGTGTCTCAGATAATTATAATACGATAGACTGTCCATTACAAAATAGGCACTCAGTTCTCGAAGCAACTGCCTTAACCTACGATTTCGTATGAATCTATACGAGGTGTGAAAATTAAGTTCCCGGAATGCCCGCATACTTGTTGTATCGAGTAAATGAGTGGGCAAGAACTAAGCTGCCACGTGTTACGAATTGTCTGCGCTTGCGTCTTGTGGGTTGGTGATGCAAATAAGGCAGCAGTAGCTAGGCAGTGGCAGAATTTCACAAGACTGCTTTTTCGCCCCGGAGTGCGACATTTGGCATTTCCCTAAACTGGAGACCGCTTGAACGGCCACATTTCGGACATTGCCAACATTCAAGGACATGCTACAACCATCATGAAGAGAATTAACATAAAGATTATAAATACCTTACGAGCAGGACAGCTTCACAACGTTCAATAAGCCACTAGATCACACAAAATATTACACAATTCACAAACAAACACATCACAACACAACGCAACACAACCCGACCCAACCAACGCTACACGTTAATACAAACAGCAAAGACGCTTCCTCTTGACTAGTTTAACAAATCTATCAAAAGATGTCGTTGGATCGCATCGAAACAAGTGACAGACAACGGCGCAGCAAAAACAGCAGAAGAACATCGAGGCAAGAAGCAATCCTACACACTATCGATAGAGAAATAATAGGTTATAAAATCTTAATTTTCAATAACTCTCATTCTTAAGTGTGAATTTGCGTCAATAAAACGTGGAATACATGTATTCTGCAAATGTGATCTTTCCTATTTTGTGACCTTTATTTTTTGATGTGCATTTGTTTCAGATATAATCAACAGCACAGATACTACACTACATGAAATAACAGTCCGGTAGTGTCAAAACTGTTGAACAGTGAAGATACCACACTACATCAAATTATAAATTCGTTAGCGCATTTTGTATAACATACACAGATACGTGTGTGGTGGAAATTACTTCTCCTTAGATGGTGAAGGATATATTTTTCCAATTACAAAATTGTGTGAGAAGATAATAAGAAACAGCTAAGAGAGAAATATGTATGTTCAGTAACAAAAGCTATATAACTTCATCCAAAATAACAAAAATAAAATAGTTTATGTTACTGACATCAGAATTAAATATGTTAGAATAAATACATCGATAGGTTATAAATGAAATGTAGACGTGTCAGAATCCAAGATTATATGATTAACTGCAAACTACACGTAAAAAGAATGAATAAGAACAAATAACAATGCAGATTAACTATACAAGTGTTGACAGAAGAAAAGTTAACAGGACGATGAACAAACAGCATATTACCGTAACAGGTCATACGACTTAATAGCTAGTAATATTACGATTATTATTATTATATCGCTGTTTGATACATTTTATGATTTGACCTGCTCTGCTTCAATAGACGGATGGGCCTATCATTACAGTTTTGGTATCCGAAGCATAAGGCGTCATCAAACCATAAGCTCCAACGAACTGCATATTACAAGAATCGCTAAACACATGTATTGTTTGTGGGACAGAATATTCACTCCGTTCACCTGTAATACAGCGTAGTTCCATTTTAATAACAAAAATCATGCAGAATCCATTAGAGTTCGTATTAACGCGGTTGGGCTGAATGAAGAAATTTACATTTGTATGACACATTATTGCTTTGTAAAACTGGATTCACACAACGCTTTTTCGCGTGAAATGATCCTTTTCACGACTTATCACTCGTATTACAGGGGGACAAAGTGTACTGAGCTGCATTTCACTCATTCACGCCTACTGTGAAATTTTAAATTGCTGTTGGGAACAGAATTTCTCAGATGTTCGAAAAATGAGTAACTACATAACATCAACCACGTACAGTAACATATTATTTAAAAATTATAATTCCGTAAGAGCAAGAAAATGGCTTTGTTCTATGTTGTTGCACCTTACAGTCTGTTTTACCGACGTTTCAGACTATAAGGCGCAATAAACCAGAAGACAACCATCTTCATACTCTTCATACTTGCCGCTGTGAGAACCTCAAATCTCATTCTGTAAGGATAAGTTTGTAAAAACAACGTCAGTTTATTAATATGTGATTATGTAAGGAAGCCAAGTCCCACACTAACATGTTACAAATATAATGGGGTACTTGAATATTAACAACGCTCCTCTAAAATTCATACGAAATGTCTGCAAATTAAAATAAGACAAATAAGCTTCGGAGAAAATATGTGTGTGAAAAATCTGAAAGGAAGAAACATCTTGGAAGACCTAGGCATAGCTGGAAAGATGTCACAGGTTTAATTAAAGTTTAATCCTTTTAAACTCAACGGTAACTCTAAGCTTTAAAAATCATTAACTATGCGTTTTTATATATTAATTTCGTACGATTCTCGCTGCAAACAGCGATTATTTCCTTAAACAGCTTCAACCAATTGATCTTTGTAATGGTGAAGTGTTGTGTTTTCTTTTCGGTACGGACTGAACTCTTAAAATATTATTTCGACGATTTACTGGAAGGATGTGTGGGCACTGCCGTAAATTTGCTTTGTCAGCCCCCCCCCCAGAACTTTCTATTCTTCGGCAACAAAGGGCTAAACAGTACCGTTTCAATATATCACCGTGCTAAACGATCAAAACATTTTATTAACATTCGTTTAAATTTCGCGACGTCTTCTCCTGTTTGCATTAAGAACACACACAAGGCACATGCTTTGCAGATAGGGTCGGTGCAGCAAACATCTCATTCATGTCTGTGCGTAAATAAACCCACTGCACTTTAATTAATCCACGCCCTCTTCTGCATCCTGTTTAACAGACATCTTTCTCTCTGTCTAATGAAATGTCAGTTCCGGATAACATCAACGTTCCTTCCTGCCTCTCGGCTTCTTCTTGTCCTGATTGCTAAACCTCTGCTTCCCTTCTAAACCTTCCGCCTTTACAAACCTTCAAATGTTAATACAACCCACACACCACCTGTAAAAGACTGCCATCTTTGGTGGTAACTTACAAAATGCTCTGTTGTCTTCCTCGTATTTTAAAATGTTCACAGAAAACTAAAAGTAAAGTAATGTGTGTAAAAGTACGTTATTTTGTAATACTTTCAAATGGGTAAAACACTTCAAATTCTTAGCTGACTAGGAAGTCGTATGTCACGTGGTGTCATTATCTTTTTTAATGGGGGCGACTTCTGCTTTGATTTTCCGGTCGCTACTTTGTTAGAAAATATTAAGTTAATTGGATGGTTGCCTGATTTGCAGACCACAGCGAGAAACTCACAAGTACCGTTGAATACCCCACAATGTTGATTCAAAAAGAAATATGTACTGCAGAAAAATTATTGCATAACCAGGGGACATGTAGTACGCATGAGAGAGATCAGAAATGGACACAGAATTTTGGTTCGAAAGCCTGAAGGGGACAGGTCACCTAAAATACCTAGGCGTAGTTGGTAGGATAATATTAAAATGTATCTTAAAAACATAATGTGTGGACTGGAATCATGCGACTCAGGATAAGAACCAGTGACCGTTTTCTGTGAATATGGCAATGAACCTTCAAGTTCTATACAAAGCGGGAAAATTCTACAGTAAATAAGCGTCTATCAGATTTGCAATAAGGGCTCTGCCCATGGAGTTATTTCACATAGCTTCAGTATAATCAGATTTCAAACTTTAGAAATATTGTCACTGCGTAAAACGTTTTTAGTCACACTGATTTTCATTTATTCAAAATAAAACATTTCAAACTTTAGAAATATTGTCACTGTGTAAAATGTTTTTAGTCACACTAATTTTCATTTATTAAAAATAAAAGTAAATTTAAAAAAGAGCATAAATCTTATACTAAAGCCTATATCTTGGGTTTACAATTTTCTCTAGCACTGTTTCACTACTTTCGATGTCTAAAATATCGATTCAAACCCATATTAGAAATTATATTTAACATATGTTGATAACTGCATAACACTTCGTTACTTTAAGTGGATAAATCAATGCGGTGGTGTAGTGAAATACAGGATAACAGTGGACCACTTGGTACTTGAACCTGACCGCTCTTTTTTTTATATTTTATTTTTATTAAAACCTCAAGTACGACGTCCGAAGACCTATCTTATAAATACTATATCCCCCCATTCGAGCATTCACTTCAAGCGCATTGAAGTAAAAAGCATACAATAAAAACCTTTTCTCACAATGGAAACAACTTGATCTGGTTCTCTACTTAGACCACAGTCAAAAATGTTCTGCTCACTCGTCAGTCATGACCATTTATTGGCGCTGTCACGTCTCATAATCCGACTATCTTCTCAATTTCACTCATAGCCCAGTGCTTCAGATCGTAGTAAGGTTGGCTCCACATCGTGAAGTGAAGTCCCAACACCGAAATCCCAGTTTTCATAATGCAAGAATTCTAAACAAAATTACGTAAAACAAGAATATTTAACAAAAATTATACAAAGATTTGAAGTTCTCACATTGGTTTTGAAGCAGTGCAGGCTCGTGTTTCGGAGAAGAAAATTGTACCCATTATCAGGGTGCTGATGGAGGTTGTAAGCGCCTCTGAAACGTACCAGGTTACACGGAGCACATCCCACATTCGGCGCCTTGAGAACCCAAAATCCTTTTTACTTAGCGTGCTTATAATTATGGATAAAAGAAGAAGGAAGACTTTTAAATTAGCGTTCAAAGAAAAGTAGGTGAATGTATTGCCAACAGAATCTTGTTCTTTAATTTCCAGCCAAAGCCGAAATCAATTGTACACATCGCTGGGTCTGTTTCTGCTTGCTACACACACCAAAACACATCCGACTGCGCTTATCGTAGCCTGGATATTTCTTTGGTTCTGTTACTGTCTCTTTACATTCTTTTTCTTCCTTTGTAAATCAACTTGTCCCAGCCATTTTTCCCCTACCTTGTTCGCCTTCTTTCTCTCCACCTACTCCTTGCCTTTCCGCATTTCCTTTCCGTACATAAAGAACTCCAGTGATTTCTTTAATGGTTGCTAGAAAAGTTCTCTCCCTTTCCTGCAGTTCTGTTTGTTTCTCTCATCGCTAAGCTGTTACGTAATTCGGGTCATTCCTAAATAAGGATCGTTCATCACTCACTGACCCACCCATTCGCTCAATTAGACTCATATTACTTACACAGTCTCGATTATACGGTTCAGTTCCGGTCCTAACAACAGAACGTTGAGTTCTCTTGCATACACAAACACACATTCCGCTAAATCAACTAACTAAACAATGTTTCTGGTTTGTATAATTGATTGGTTAGCATCAATCGGACTTGAGGCATGCCTCTCAAAGCTCAAACAGATAACTGACTCAGATTTGTCGGCACTGTACCTCATTTCAAGCAGTGTTTATTCGTAAGATATTAAATTCGGAAAATGCTTGATACATTTCAGTCCATAATCTCTTATTTTCTACCGAAAGAAACTTGAGGATAAAAATATGCAAAATTATAAATTTTAGCTGTTGTTTTATATGGGGATTAAATTGTTACTCAGTGTATTATAAGGATAAAGACTGAGGGCAATTAACAACAGGGTGCTAAAAGTATATTTAATCGTAATAGAGAAGAATTGAAAGGAAGATGAAATATATAAATAACTGGTTCATATTTTGTACAATTCACTAAATATCAAAAGCTGAATTTATCGTATTATAAAAGAATCCCACAAATATCTTCGGCCGCTGATCTTTGCAGAAACCACACATCGACTTACCTACCGCCTATACCTGCATCTCCTCGCTTTACACTGACATTCCTGCGGTATCGTATTCGATTCCCAACTTTCCTAAAGATGACTGTCTTCTGGGATGTTGCGCCATGCAGTCTCGTGGAAACTAACTGACTCTTCAGAGGTGCTTACTGCTTCCATCATCAGGGCTAATCCTGTGCTGAGATGTTCTACCTCAAAATCGTCCGGATGCAGCCAGCAACTAAAACTAAAGGAAATACCGAGCTCGAAGATTTTAAGTTAACTAAAATATTAGATACCGAACTGCCGTATACTCATCCATAGAATAAAACTTAATTAATATCTAAACTGTACCTATGTTTCGATGATCTTCCTTTGTCTCTGGCAGTCCTCAACACATCGTGTTGGTTCTCGACGTAAAATCCGATGCGAAAACTAAGACTGCGGAAGGGAGACAATCAGGACTCCTCATTCTCTGCTCGTAGGAATCACTCTTTGAGGTTCACTGCACCGCGCATCGCAAGCCACACAGAGAGACATCGTGGATGTATCTGACAAAGCGAAGGGAGACGCAGTTTACTAACCGGCAGCATTTCAACATATTCCCGAGCAACCAAATGTTCCAAGGAAGCAGCTAGCAATTATGAAACTCTAACAACGAATCTACAAATTGTAAAGGTAAAATCATTCCTGCGCTTCCTAAGTACGAGGCTGTCAAGGCGTACGGGGTAGTGGAGATAAACCTCCACCAATTAAATCCCCGCACTACAAGGTTGGCTTCACGCTCTGGCTGTTTTCTCCCGGAAAAGAGTCACCTGTACGGACAGGAAGCTGTGAGGACCCACAGCCGGCTTTTACACGGTGACAATAAATCCCTGACCCTGCAGGGAATCGAACACCGATCGTCCAGGTTGCAAAAATTCGCCTCAAAGGCTTAAATGTAGGCCTCGCATTGAAGTAAAATTCGTAAAATTGTTCGGAAGAAAAAAATTATGAATGGAATGACAAACAAACTACAAGACACGAACTGCTCATTTCGCATTCTTTGTAGTCCGTGTAAGATCTTAAAATGCACAGGGTCACTGAGGAAACTGAAAGTAATTGACGCTGGAAATGTAACATACGCCCCTTTGAAGTAAATTGTTCTGCCAATGGCAGCTATCTACGTGTTGTGTAGGTGATGAAAGATGAAAAAGACCTATCTGCCCTCTGTCGTGAGATGGACAGTTTATACTTTGACCTCTCAGTAAGTAGAATCTCGTTGTAAAGAGACTTCTGTCTCATCGCATTTGGCACGAGTTTCCTCTACGATCAATAATACGTCTGCCTGGATAAGACAGTGGTAGCAGCAGGATACAATAATCTCCATTCCATGATACGTCTGTTATTTTGTGACGTACGCATGACCGACCTTGATCACAGAACCACGAAACAAATTAGTATGACATCTACGATATCCAAAGTAATGAAGTCTCATTAGGCATGAGCTGACGATGATCGTACAGACTACAGAAACGTATAACCCATCCATGTAAACCGGAGAAAAGGAAAACTTTCTACCGACCACGATAATTGAATGCTACTGCATGAGGCACAACGCGGACCCCTGGAAAATGCGAATTTGGAATTAGAATTTAGCTTTCACTTGTAAAGCTGTAGTTATCCACATTCGTCTTCTGTAGACACTGGTGACTGTTCTTTGTAATTGCACATTTGATACAGGATTAAACGACGTTTCAGGAGCATATTTCTGGCTCCATCAGTGTTGCCAATCGCACGACAAAAATATTCTAATGTTGCCCTCACTGTTTTCATTCTCTTCGTGTTTTTAGCTTACACAGACACAAGAGAAACATGATAACGCAAAGAACAATATTTCCTGATTACAGTGACACAGTATCGTTCCAGGCTAACACTGTGGAGGGAAGCCCAGAATGTACTCGGGATGGTTTTGAAACAAAACAAGAAAATGAAGGTAGATCGGTTTAGGATTGCAGTAACTAACGGTTTTACGATCAAGTTTTGCAATGAGTGGCATTTTGAACACAACATTTAAAAACAAAACCTGAGAGGAAGAGACCACGTCATGATTATTCTATTTAGTCGCTATTTTAATTACGTCGTTTTAGATCCATCTTTAACGCAGTTCGGTGGTTGGTAAACTACAAAATGGTAATTTTAATTACGTCGTTTTAGATCCATCCTTAACGCGGTTCGGTGGTTGGTAAAATACAAAATGGTGGAAAAAGATGTGGCGTTGAAGAAAATTGATGGAGACTCCCTGAACATTTTAATATAACTCTAGACGCAGATATATAAACATTTTTCATGAATAACATGTCCATAATTCGTTATTATTTGAGAGTTAAACTCTTCATTTACGTGGGTTTTTTCAGTAACTTGTGTACTGCGTAAATGAAGCACTGATTGTATAATCGTAGTCCTGGCAACTGCTATTTCACAAATGTAAACGAACAGGAATATTGGATTTCTCATCACCTGCAATTGAACTGAGTTTCAAGTCCTGCCACTGGCTGCGCTAGAAGGCGTGTTTTGTTTTGCGTTTTGCAATGCAACCGTTGTTGATCGTAAGTTAAAAGTAAACTTTATTGACAGTAACATCTTAACGTAATTACGTCTCCAGTAATTAACAATAAAACAATTGTTATGGTTGTTGAAAGAAAGTAAAAGATTTATAATTTGTAATGTTATTTCACAGACAATATTAAGGTCTCTGGAAGTTCTTAAGTTTTTTATATCTACAATTATCAATTTCCATATGTATTTTGTACGTTCTGTTATTTAACTGTGCTGTATCAACTGATAAGGTTGTGGAGACTCATGATTTTTAAGAAACAATGCTTTATTTTCAACAGTAAGTCTGGAATTGTCGCATTGGCTATTAACGTTTTATCAACCCAAAAGGTTTCTAAAGGATCCTAATAATTGTGAAGAGGCCTATAATACATCTGGAATTGATAGATTCGGTTTTTGTACAGTACGAAATGCTAGGAACCATAACGGGATTCGAACGTGTTACTCCAGGGTCCGACCGAGACCCTACACGTGCTTCGGAGTTCAAACTGCGAATGTTCAGATGGTACTTGGTTACGCAGCATCAAACAAGACGTAGGGTGACAAATCAGGATGAATGTGGGTAAATGTGTCTGCGAGTTTTTAAGACTTCTCAGTGAGGCTAATATCTCGGCCAGTAATATGAATGGCTGTACGCTGGATGACCGCTGTTCGAATCCCAGCAGGGAGCAGGATTTTGGTCTTCGTCACCAGACCCAGAGTCTCTCGGAGGTCGGAATAAAGTGTGAGACAGCATAGTACACATCGCCCTGATTATGGTGATGATGGAAGTAGAAAACACCTTCGAAACACTTTCAAACTCGACAGCCATCTTTGCCTTAATGTAATATAACAATTAAAACATATCCAATGAACCTTAAAGACGTCTATGTCGTAATTTTCAATTAGCTGCATGTTCATAATTTAATGTAATTTTAGTTACATATGCTAAATATATTAAAACTAATTCAGCATGTTTGTTTAGGAAAACTTTTTGACGGTCCTTCGCGGAGCCGCAACTTCCATTTTGCCAAATATAAAATAGACAACCATGGCTCAGTCCCAGGTACTGGCAGGTATCTTTTCCTTCTCCTCGAAGTCCAGACCAGCTCTGAGACGTATCTAGTTTCTCCACTGGGTACAGGAGGCTTTTCCCCAAGGTTAAAGCAGCCGGAGTGTGCAAATGACCACTCACATGTTGTTTCGAAGTTAAGTCAGTTCTGGTAATCACTTCGGATGGCCACTTATTTTCATTATTTTGCTTCTTGGTGTAGTCTGCAGCTTCCAGTATATTATTCTCTTTTCGTTCCTTTAGAATTCAGGTTTTCATTGTCTTAATTCAGCGTTACAGACCAACATTTTCTTTTATTAAGCTTCTGTTCTTACTCTCGGCTCTCTGCAACACCTTTAGAAACGTCGCTACCAAAACACTCCATATACAAGTTACTTAACTATAAGTAATTAATTTACACAGTTCGCTTCTCATATATTACGTTTAAGTTAGGTTAGGTTACTCCCATTTCTGATTAGGCGGATAACAAAAGACTTGCACATTTAAATTGAAGTCGCCTGATTACGGAAATCGGAACTAGAACGTAAAATGGGGGGTTTCAATGCTGTCTTTCAGTAACTGAGATGGATGAGTCCCTCAGGAGTCTACATTATACTCTTCTATGTGAAAACGAAGTGAAATTCTAGGGTTGCTAGGATACAGTCTCAAATGAGCTGCAGTTAGACTCCCCTACTTGTTCTAACCTGCACAGAACGTCAAAGAAAACAAAAAAAACTATCGTTTCTTACGACATGAAGAATCCCGACAGAGGAAGGTATTTTTTTTTCTCTCCGTACTGCGTTCAGACGGGCCATGTGGCCCACTTAGTCACCTATCCAGTGGGTGTAGGGTAGTTCGACCGTAAAGCTGACAACTCACTTCCATGATCCCTGAGGCTGAAAATGCATGGAGCTGTATCTCCACTCCGCACTACGTTTTCATAGTATCAGCTTAAGTAGGGTAAACCTGAGCACAGGAAAACTTTTCTTTTACCTTGGAGCCTATTGTGAGTGTTCTGGAGGACCAATTAAACTATTCCCTTCTTTCTGGTACGTCTTAAAAATGGTTCGTGTTTATAATCGCGATTAAGTATTTCCAGAATCAGCATAAGTCAGGATACATTAATTTATCAACAAAATAAATATTATGAATGACATCTTTTTGCGATCATGGCTTCAGATCACATGAGTATAAAGTACAGTACCAACTTTCAACAAATGAAAGCAGTGCATATTTTCTGCACACAATATTTAACTAACTGCACAGAATAAACTTCAGCCAACAACTCGACTTTCGGGGAGGAACAAAACGTGATCGATTGAATTGCATAATAAACTAACGAATAAAAAGGTATTGTCGACTTCAGTTTATTTGGCGTCTGCACTCCGTAGCACTAATCAGATCTGATCCTGTGCTGCCAATATTGTACTTTATGTTAATTATTATTATTATTATTATTATTTAGCTCAAGCTGTGACTAATGGTACATAAAGATTAATAATGGTCTCTACCATTCCTAACCCCTCAGGGTATCGAATTTGTCAAAAACACGCCGAAAGTTGCTGACGCAAACAACAACCATCGGGATTATATAACTCACACACGAAGGTGCACAAGATGAAAACTTAACAACAAATACACGGTAACCGGGTTAGATTCCAGGCTAGAACATGAATTTCATTTTTCCGACACTACTGAGTAGGTCTGCCAGGTTTTGATACACGTGAGTGTAAAATTCAGAAGTTACCTACTAACTAGGTTAAGATTTACCTACACGCCTCCCATACACCTCCAGTGCTGGAAAAATATTGGGTCGCGACTAGTGGTTAGCACTAGGCCTCGGGTTCACATCTCGACCAGAAGAACAGACTACTTCTTATTCGGAAGGCCTCGGGTTAAAATCTCGACCAGAAGAACAGCAACCACAAAATTCTGAACAATAAATTATTTCCTGTGATTCTACATTTATATTCCGCCTCAGCTACGAAACGTGATAGTGCTGCCATCTAGCGGATGTTTTCAGAACTATGAAGTAATTGTTAAGATCCTCGGCTACGTGTAAACGTGTAAACGTTAGTTCACCTGCCACCTAATGGCTGAATTTTGAATCATTTCGAAAATAATGGCTCCAATCTGAAGGTCATAGTGTAAGTAACGGAAGCAATTATTCACAAAATTTATGCACATGGAACTTGGAAAGTTCTTTGTGAAAATATGGTTCCTCAGCAATGGTTCAATATTTATAAAATGTCATTTCGGCTGTATTTTGAGAAAATTAAAGCAAACTTCAGCCTATTTGTGGTTTATTTGGCGACGCTGTCAGTATCAAAGACGACACAGAGTCGAATAATAGGATGATCAGTAAGCAGAGAAATTGAAAAATTTGGAAATAAGCGGTCGTGGTGTAATTTAAGGCAGGCCACTGCTTTATCGTTAACGCAGAGCAAATTTATTCACATAAAAGTGGATTATTACGAGTCGAAGTTACCCAAGTTTAACAAAGGTGTTCAGAAATGTGATGCGTTTCTCACGTCATCCATGCGTTCTACATGTCCTAATCATTTAATTCCCCTTGATTTAACGACCACAATAATATCTTTAACCTCGTACTTCTCTCTCTTAGGTTCACTCCCATAGAAAATACTAGATAAAATTACATCTTTGTCTGTTTTAATATTTTATGTATATACGAAATAATGAACATCTTTCATTCAATTTTTAAAATGTTCACGGCAATGAAATTCCTAATTCATAACTCGCTAAGATCTGCCAATGAAAGATAACTTATATTTTAATTAAAATCAAATCTGTTCATCAAGACTTCTCCAACGTTGATATTCAGTCGATTAATCTGGAATTCTATTTCACGTTACACCAGATGAAAGTTGGAAAGTTCTAGCGTTTTGCATTCATAAGTCGTCACAGCCGTACCCAGTCGCCCTGAATTCTCTGTTTAAGGACAATGTCCTTAAAAGCAGCAGGGACTCCATGGTCATTATCGAGTCTAAATGCAACCTCACCGGGTGACCTCACATACAATCGCTTCGTCAACTTGATTTCTCATCTCCGATTTCCCTCTACCCCGCGTAAGTCACAAGACATTTCTAAGTAAGACGCAAGAAACACATGGCAATAAATCTTTAAAATACTGTAATGGAGATCTTAAAATAAAGACAGGTGATTCTCTAAATTAATTCTTTTGTGAATTTGTATACATCATCTGGTAGTGACGTTTCACTGTTGCACACGTCATACAGATATAAATATTTTTCCTTTTATTTAGTTAAATATATAGGGGCTCACCCAGCCTCCTCTACAATGGGTACCGGGATCCTTTCCCGGGAGTAAAGCCGGCCGGGGCGTGATGCTGATCACTCACCCCAATCTAGTGCCGAGGTCAAGGAAGAGAGGAGCTATATCTCCACTCACCCCAAACGCCTACATGGCGTATAGTGGGACAAACTTTACTTTACTTATATATAATATCAAAGTTATACGGGTCATCACAATCAAAATTTCATACGGTATTTTCAGAACAGCCATCGAAATATGTTCAGAAGTTTAAAATATAAAATCTGCAAACAAAGTGACTACTTGATTACGCATTCGTTGAGTAAGGCGTTTAAAGTTCTTCCCAGAATGTCTTTCTTTCAGACACACACTTATCTTGACCCAAATATTTTCCATTTTAGAAGCAAGTGCCATATTTTTCATCGCTCATTGCTTTCCTAGCTTCCCGCTGCTTTATCTATGCCTGTTTGAGTCAAACATTCTTTTTCTTACGGTTTACTTTCTTATCACACATTCCTATCAGCCCTTTAAAACCCAGTGGTAACCATAGATACAACACGATTTAAAATTAATAACTGAATTTTGTCCACAGAGTGTTTTTATTAAACCCATATGATTCTCAGGCTAAAAATCTGTTATTTAAATACTGCTAGCATTAAATAACTTATAATTCGTAATTATATAGGCCCAAAACAATAAAAGTGAATAAAAGTTAAATTCTATGATCATAATAATAAACCCAGGGTTCCATAATTGACGGGAAAGTTATTAACCAGCTGAGTGACTATCATCTTCTCAGTGAGGGCTCTCTTCCATTGCATTACTTCTCAGAAAATAAAACAATTACAGTTGCTACACAGACGAAAATGTGAGGATAATATTAAGTTCGATCTTGGGGAGAGTAAAAATGCCTCGTATCGTGTGCAATGGCGGTGTTTGGTAGAATCTATATTGCATTTAGTTTGCTGCTATTAGGGTATATATACAATAAAATATATATAATAATAATTTCATGTTCGATATCGTATTCTGTCAATGAAGCAGTTCTTAAGTGTCTCTGATGACGCAATCCAGGCCAAGACATCAAATTATACAACTGGTCCGAAATCAAGTATAATTTTTAAGGGAACGTAAGCAGATTTTGGATCTGGCAGAGAAGTAAAGCCACACAAAGCACCTGACGAGAAACAACGAAGAAATCACACAAATAAGGCACTTACCAGGGACTGTGAACTGAGTCAGGTTGCACCCGTCCTCAGCGGCGCTCACACATTCATTATGGCTTGTCTGAAGTTGTTGTGGGCGTACAATGAATGAGTCCTGTTACTTGGTGTTTTGGTGTGAAGTTACCA